ATCGATTAAATAATTCATAATAAATAAGTTTAAGGGTTTAAGAGTACAAAAAACAATTGTATGCAAAAAATGAAGAAATCATTGTTTAAAACACTTTTAAATTAAAATTTCAATTAAAAAGACGATACAATTAATTTAGACGCTCTTCTAATCGGGTGTTCGGGAAGGATAGCGAAGGCGCCGGACGTTCAGTCAAAGCGACTAATATTTATATAATGTGTAATTAATTTATCAAAAAAGTGGTGAATAAAATACATTACTGTTTCAGTTAATGTATTTTACATTACAAATAAAAATAATTATAGCATTAAATGTTTAATAATTTACAATAAAATATAAGATATTAAGGGAGTAATTAAAACCGAGGCTTTCATAAACATAAGACGCCTCCTGGAGGGTGAGTGGGTGTTGTGTATTGTGTTATGAATAAAACTTAATAATAATGGGCCAAAAAAGGCCCAAAATTGTTGATATAAATTTTGTTTCCTTAAAAACTATAAATAATGTACTCATTGATAGCTAACTGTAAATAAATCAGTCGTTAAAATGTCTTTTTAGGTTTGGGTTTTCATATCTTATATTCAATTTAAATAGTAATCCATTCGTTAAAATAGATATCAAACGATTTTGTGGGGAATAATAACTAGCGATCGAATCACACAATCACTCATCAATATTCACGTTAAGGAGAAATCGTCGTCAAACAAGTCGGCGATGCCTTCGCTCTCTTCTAATGTGAAGTTATAGTCCTCTTCGGAGAGCGGAGGCTCTAAATGCAAAAATGGCAGATTAGAGGTCGGATCAGATGAGGTCAATGCGGTTTCATTGGCGAGTTTCAACTGGTCTTCTGTTTGCATCAGAAAACTCTTCGAACCCATCGGACCCAAGTCGTCGTCTTCTGATATGAACGCAAACTTTAGGGCCGTCTCTTCAGCTATACATATGTCCACACATTAGTCAGTCATCAATCAATTAACACATTTCTATTCAAGTCAAACCTTTAGATCCATCGTTCTCTTGATTATCTCCATTAGTGCTCATCAAATCTGAATGAATTGATTCTCCCTTTCCGTCATCAGAGTTAAGTGTCATACCATCGTCTTCAGGGCACAGGTATACTTCAATTTCTCCCTTTTCGCTCTTTAACCATATTTGAAGGCTCTGTCAAACAAATCAATTCATTCCATAAATACCATAAGTAAACGAGAAATAGAGCAAAGAATGCGGTCATTTGGTGAAGACATACCTCTCTAGGATCGGGTACTTCGAGCTTTGTCTCAGAGGGGGCTTTAATTGCTATCACAGTCTGGTCTGAAAATTCTTTGATTCCACGAATGTCTCGATACGTGACGAACGCGAACCTCTTGTTGTCCTGATTGTCGTGAGCGGCCCGGAGGTCATTGTTGGCCATTTCGATCAATTCGTTCAGCTCTCGTTCTTTGGCGTCGAGTCTCGCGTTTTCCATTTCCATCTGAATCTTCTTCGCGATGACGGACTCGGATTGGAAAGCGCCGGACGAAGAGGCCTGAGGGCCGCCATCGATGGAACCGCCTTTCCATTGGATATTGTTTTTGGATGTCTTGTGCAAAAGCCCAACGCCTTCGAGAACGTTAGTGATATCATAGATGCGGCGCTTCTGGACTTGTAATACAGTCGACGCTTCGTTCAGATTCAGAATCTGTTAGAGATATGCAAAACATTAGAGTTAAACACAAGACAATGGGAGATAAAGGAAGTGGTAGTCGTGGAGATACCACTACACGTACGCCATCGGATGCATTCTGTAATAAACTGATGAACTTTCTGGTCAACTGTCCCAATGAAGTCTCGTAGCGATGCTTTCCTTTTGAAGGAGTGGACGAGTCATCGGAAGCGGGCGTTTGCGGACTCATTATAGTATATTTTGTAACGTTAATAGGCTTTGGTGGCGGTGTAGTGGCCGCGGAGGCAGTGTTGGGCGCCACACCATAATTGGCTACAACTGGCCGTACTTTTGGTAGTGTCGGAGCTTTGAAAATGACTTTTGAGGCGAACTTTATTGTCGACACATT